ATCATAAATCAGCGAAAACTTAGTTTATTATATATTTGAAGTTGAAAGCACATGTGGCTTTTAAATCGAACTGATTCATGTGTTAGATAAAACAAGAGCAAAAGATTGAATTGGGGTCTGATTTAGTTTCAACCTCAACTTGATTCATTCTCATGTGGAGACTCCTCCTCGGCTGTGCTGCTGGAAAGGCGTTTACCTGCACTGGCTCCACTTGCCAGCTTTTCAAATGAAAAGCGTGCTCCTGTTAATAATTGTAATGCCTTGAAATTAGAGAAGCTTCCATATTCTATTGATGGCTACTTCTAATCATTCGTGAAAAGATTTTGTGGTTGTAATTAAGCAATGAGTTCTATACTGTACTCTCATTTTACGGAATATGAACGTGCACAGAGATTTCTGGATTAGAGTGTGATACCAGATGATGACCCTAGACACTCAGGAGCCGTCCTCCACTCTCCACTAGAGCAGGCTTTCAAGACTCCCCTCTGGTGGAAATCGGAGAAGAGTAAGAGCTGTGTTCAGGTCCTGGAGAGTGTGCATGACTAACTCGATGAGTGAGAAGCAGCTTAAAATGTTTTCTTTTTTTAATTTTTAAACTACAAAGTAATAGAATCCAGAAAAATATAATCATTTGAATATATAAACAGAAGTTTTCTTGTGGTGATAGTACTGCTCAAAAATGAGCTGTGCCTGTCTTCCTGATATTTAAATGTAAATGTAGACAGGAAGATCATTGTTCTTTTCAGTACATACAATTTTGTATCATTCTTTTTTCTTTTTCTGTTTTTCTATGTTGCTACATATTTCCTTTTCTTTTTTTAATTGATGCATATGTTTTCTATTTGCCTTTTATATAGCAACGTTGCATTCTTTCAAATATATCCAAAATAATTTAGTCAAGCACAGTCCTATTGTTGGACATTTTGATGTCTTCCAAAGAGTATCACTGGCCAGAAATTTCTTGTATTTTGGATAGTAAACATATAATATTGCCAGAAATGAATCAATTAGTCAGAGTGGTGATATTTTGTTTTCCAAAATGGACAAAAACTAGATATTTATGGTGTACATGACAGTCTGAAAGATGAATACATTGTAAAATGGCTAAATCAAGCTAATTAACATCCCAATTGCTTCACATATTTGTCATTTGTCATGGCGACAACTTTCAAAATCTCTCCAGGCAGTTTTCAAGAATACAGTGTGCTGTTACTGACCACAGTCACCATGTTGTACAGCTGACCTTCTGAACTTGTTTGTCCTACGTGGAATTTTGTAGTATTTGATTCCTCTCCTTCCTCCAGCCCCTGATGCTCACACTCTGCTACCATGAGTTAGATTTTTCTGGATTTCACATGTAAATGAGATCATGCAGTATTTGTCTTTCTGTACCTGGCTTATTTCATTTAGCATAATGTCCCCAGGATCAACTGTGTTGTAACTAATGGCAACATTTCCTCTTCTTTAAAAAGAGTTTAAAAACTTATTGCATTGTGTACACACACACGCGTGCGCGCGCACACACACACAGACACACACACACATTTTCTTTATCCATTTCTTGGCCCAGTGTTGGACACCTGCATCGATTCTGTGGCTTGGCTATTGTGAGCAACACTGCAGTGCTATGGGAGTGCAGACATCTCCTTGACATACTGATTTCATTTTCTTCAGATATATAATCAGAAGTGAAATTATTATGTGGTAGTTCTATTTTTAATTTTTTGAGGAGCCCCTATAGTATATTCCATAATGAGTGTGCTAATTTATAATTTTTACATTTCTAACAACAGTGTGCAAGAGTTCCCTTTTCTCCATATCATCACCAATACTTGTTATCTTTTGTCCTTTTGATAATAGCCATCTTAACAGGTGTGAGTCAATAATTCACTGTGGTTTTAATTTGCATTTCTGTGATGATTAGTGACACTGAGCACCTTTCCATAAACCTGTTGGCCGTTTCTATGTCTATTTTTTTTTATTTTTATATTTTTGAGACAGAGTCTCACACTGTTGTCTGGGCTGGAGTGCAGTGGTGCAATCTCAGCTCACTGCAACCTCCGCCTCCAGGATTCAAGTTATTCTCCTGCCCCAGCCTCCCAAGTAGCTGGGATTACAGGCACCCGCTAGCACACCCAGCTAAATTTTTATATTTTTAGTAGAGACAGGGTTTCACTATGTTGGCCAAGCTGGTCTCAAACTCCTGACTTTGTGATCCGCCCGCCTTGGCCTCCCAAAGTGCTGGGATTACAGGCATGAGCCACCACACCCGGCCCTTTATGTCTTTTTTAAAGAAATGTTTATTCAGGTCCTTTGCCCGTATTTTACATGAGCGATTTGTTTTCTTGTGATTTTCTTGTTTGGGTTCTTGATAGTTTTTGATACTATTCACGAGCCATTTTGTTCAGGTATTTTCTCAAGTTCTGTAGCTGTTTGTCACTCTGTTGGTTGTTTTCTTTACTGTACAGAAGATTTTTAGTTTGATGTCACCTCATTCGTCTAGTGTTGCCTGCGCTTTGGGAGTTTAGGCTTATTGATTGTTTTTCTCAAAACAGAGTATAATCCGCTATTGATACCTAAAGGCATATTCGTTAGATATAGGAAAACATTCTGTGAAAAGATAGAGGCTTGATAGGAGCAGACAGCTGTCCGTCACTAAGTGGTGATGTGCTGCAGTAGTTGAGATATCGTGGCTGCTAAGTTGAAGCAATGGCCCCACATCCCTGCCTTTCTGTTTGAACCTCCCAAATATTACAGTAAATATTAGTGCCTCAGGTGAAGGCGATCATTTAAAAAGTGGCCACACTCAAATTCCAACTCTTCCTACCCTGGGACTCTCATGTCATTTTATTTATTTTCTTCGTGGCGCTTTATGACACTTTTTTGTTTTCTTTATGTTTGCTTTGATTGTTTTTTTCTTTCTTCACTAGTGTGGTGTCTCCATGAGATCGGGGCTTTGTGCTATTCACTTCTGCCGCTTTGGTACTTAGCGTGTGACACATGGTAGATGCTCAGTGAGAATATATCGAAAGAATAATGAAAACAATGGGTGTTAAAATTTAGCTGAATAGAAAGAACTGTAGTTGGATGCTTGGAATAGAAAATGGAAAGGTCAACGGTTGTTTTAAAAACAAAGTTTTTAAGTGAGGTTTTAACACAGATCAATGAGCAAAAAGGGCAGCATGTGTTTACCAATTACAGACACCTTCAATAACTTATGGCTAGCAGTTAACGTGGGAATCATGACTGGCTTTTGGTTTTAATATTTTTCACATTTAAAATTAGTACATATTATGTTCTTATGATGCAGGGTTTCTCAAAATTAGTTCCATAGAACTCTAGTTGTCCTAGATTCCTGATGAAAAAAAGTACTTCCTAGTTAGATAAATCTGGAAAAGGCTACATCCTTTGCATTCTGTTCATTATTCCCTAAAATATGCTTTCGCATATTAAATTTTATTAAGATGAGACACCCCTTTAGAAAAGAAAGGTGTTCGATTTTGATTAACCTAGAATTTTCCCCATTGGTTTGACTCTGATCTGATGGCTGTTGAAGACATCTACGGCAATGACCAGAGAGTGTCGCATAGATGCCCCGGGGGTGGGGCGGGGGGCGGGGCGGGGGCGGGGCGCGGGATGCTGGTGCAATGTTACTTGAATGATATTCACTCTGATGCTGTAGATAAGGATTTGTTTTCACTAAGCAAGGAAGAAAAGCACTACTTATGTTTCCCCTGCCTTGTCTTTAGTATTAACTTCCTCCATTCACACTGACAATTGTGCTTTTCCTCGAAAGACTACTTATTTCAGTTCCGTTGCCTCAATATCAACCCATGGTTTGTCAAAGTAAAAACACAAGTAGAATTTCCTCTTGTAAGGATGGGCTTGTCAGATAGTTAAATAGACTACACTGAAGTCAGTGTCAGAAGAAGTAATTGGGTGGTGTTCAAACCTGACCTCTGCCTCTTACACTTCTGAATGCACCTGTCCAGTTGGTGTTTTGTGACAGTGTTTTGTCGATGTTTACGATCATAAAGCTCCATGTCTGCAGACGCAGCTCTGGAGCCAGGGCAGTCTTTCCTCTAACTCCAGGCTGGATGGATTGCTTTCTTCTAAAACACAGCGAGGTGCAGTGGCTCATGCCTGTAATCCGAGCACTTTGGGAGGCTTAGGCGGGTGAATCACTTGAGTTCAGGAATTCAAGAGTAGCGTGGCCAACATGGTGAAACCCTGTCTCTACTGAAAATACAAAAATTAGCCAGGCGTGCTGGCACATGCCTGTCATGCCAGCTACTTGGGAGGCTGAGGCAGAAGAATCGCTGGAACCCAGGAGACAGAGGTTGCAGTGAGCCGAGATCCGTGCACCAGCCTGGATGATAGAGAGAGATGCCAACTCAGAACAAAAAAAAGAAAAAAAAATCATTCATTTCCTATAAGAATTTCTGAAATATAATATCACTGGCTTTCTTTGAAATATAATTAATGTGTGTGATAGTAAAATACATTTTTACTGAGATATTTTCTTAACCTAGACTTTTTCACTTGTTTTTGTAAAATATTTATTCCCGAGGAATTACATACAGCTTCATCTTGTTTTCAGGGTACGAAATTTCTTCCCATTTATTTTTGTATTAAAGCCAGAACATCCAGTAAGGTCACTTTTGCTATTCTTTTCGATCTTAGAGGTGACAAGTTAAGATTCATATGTTTGTTTAGCTGTGAAGGTGGCAGAACAGGAATCTGAACTCAAGTCTTTTGATTTTCTAACTTTTGCTGTACCCAGGGTTCCTGTATAAATGATATCTAATTGCTGTATCCAGGGTTCCTGTATAAATGATATCTAATTGCTGTATCCAGGGTTCCTGTATAAATGATATCCAATCATCTTACGCTGTTTTAACTGCATAATATCATAGCAGCCATTTCATTGATTTTTTTTTAAGAATTCTTCTGTGAATAATTTGGGTTTTTTGTTTTGTTTTGTTTCTTTAATTGCTTAGGGTTGGTGCAAATGTACAGTTTTCTTGTGAGGACAATTATGTGCTTCAGGGATCAAAAAGCATCACCTGTCAGAGAGTCACAGAGACACTGGCCGCTTGGAGTGACCACCGACCCATCTGCCGAGGTAAGGCACCTGTGATGGGCAAAGCCTGGATTGCCTCTTTCATTAGGCTTGGCATTTTTTTTCTGAATACACAATTTAACCATGAAGCGTTGTCTACAGGCAGAGCAGAACTACAGGCAGAGCAAAACATAGAGGTAGTAATGTATGTTTTCATAGTGAGGTAATAACGGAAATATTTTCTTGGAATTTATTAAGAGGCAAATAGTTCCAAGCATATTTTTGTGTTTTCCATTTCAGAACGGATGTGAGCAAAGCCACACATGCTCAGTATAACTTGGTATCTATCTATACAACGTGTGAATATACGTTACACGATCGCACCTGCCAGAAATGTTTCCGTGCACCCCGCACATCTAAACGTGTTCACTTTGCCATCGCAGTAGTTTGAATTCTTTAGGTGTCGATTGTATGAAGCCTGATTCCAAATCACCACTATATTAATACATGATCTTTAATCTCTAACATAGTTAGCAGAGTAAAATATTCATCATTGTCGTCATCATTTTCAAATAAAATGTATGAAGTCTGCAAAGTTTACATTATTTATCACTCTTATGAAGTATATAAAAATTCCTACCACAATTACAGAAATCATATAGAAAATGGAAGAAAACGATTATGGTTGTTTAAAATGAACAATAATAATAATAAAATTAAAGAAAAGCTAGGTTTGGTGGTTTCGTTTTTGACTTTTGGTCATAAAAGGATTTCTGTAAACTGGTAGTTTTGGAAGGAAAAGCTGCAGTTTGACTAAAAAGAAAAGCTTCATATGTAAGAATAACTTTATAGTCTTTTTCATGTGGACAGACTTTTAAGCACTTTAGTTATAAAAAGGTATGAGAAGCACAATGTCATTGCAGCCTGTGAAATTAGTTGCCAACCATGTCACTGTCTTCACCTAAGCTAAGAATACTCTTTGGCAGCATTCGATGTGTTGTACCTGGTCCCTGTAACCACTGGGGGTTGGTCACATGCAGAGGACGCAGCATTGCATCACCTGTCTGGACAGGAAGGACAGCTGACAGCAAACCGTCACCTCTTAAGTGGAGACCCTTTACAGAGAGTCAGCAAGCTCTCAGCAAGGAAATGCACACGGCCATCTCCTTCTTTTTATGACTACTTTGATTGTGCATTTTTCAATTCTAAAATACAATCATTAAGCACTTCAAAGAGCCACGCTCAAAGTCATGTTCCCACTCGGGCTGGTGGTGCGCGAGCCTCCCAATTATACGTGATGACTGAGTCACATGGATTATTTTTCCTTAAGGGGAAAGAACTTGCTTCAGTAGTTTTCTTGCTCTTATGTACCAGAAGTAGACTTCATTATTTATCAAGTTCACTTTAGACAAATAGTAAATGTGCCTTCTTTTAAATTTGTTACTTTAAAAATAAAATCAATTTTTTAGGGTAACATAAATATTTGCCTTTTTGTTGATTGATTTTATATGTTAATCCATGGCATTTTCTTTCTCGGCCCTGACTGTCATCTTAAACTAAAAGCACTTTCTCAGTATCCTCTCCCAAACATACCACACACGCAGAGGTGCTTATCTCGTAGGAAGCAGCTGCTCCATCCAGGCTGAAGGTGGAGGCCTTTCTCCCACCTTCCTCAATCCCCCAACTACTCATGCTTAGAGATAATTAGAAGAGGATTCTTTTTGGTTACCTGTTCTCACAGGTTCAAATGTCCCTCTTGATCATATTTTGGAAGAGAACATCTATTCCACAGGGTCTCCCTTGTTTGATATGTTTGGTTTGGTTTTCTGAAAAAGTTACTAGCAATCGCCAAGACCCTGCCTCTTCCTTTCAACTCCATGGGCAAAGAGTGCCTGGCTTTATTCATCTTCTCTTCTCTCGGATGAGTCCCTTGTTTTGCTTAAGTTAGATATACCTTTTAGATATACCTTGATCATCACTGAATAGTTCTTTAGTTCTTATTAAATTTATTAGAAGTAATCAATTTAAATTTGTTATTGATTTAATCAATTTTTATTTTTCTGAAATAGTAACTTACAGTGCTGGAAATAATTCCTAAGAAAGTGCTTTCATTGTGGATGGGTTTTACTAGTTTAACTCAGTTAGACAAAGGCCACACCCTCAAGTGTTTATGAAATCATTTTTATCCATCTTGGACTCCTGCTGAGACAATGCTCCTGAGGTTTCTAGTTGCATCAGTTAATAAGATGGATAAGAAACCCTAATTTCTTAAAGAAGTATCCTTTCTGGGACGTAATGCTTGAATCCTGAAATTGCGGTCATTCCGAGGTTTTGGGGAATGGCTGTGCAGCCACACACTCAGCTTTTCCTGTCTAGGATGCTTGTGCAGATGTCACTTCCAAATTTCAGTTTCTGTGGCCATCTGGAGAGGCTGAGAAGTTTCAAAATCACCCAGCCCAGATCCCTCCCCCCCTCCCTCCCTCCCTCCCTCCCTCCCTCCCTCCCTCCCTCCCTCCTCCTCCTCCCTCCCTCCCTCCTTTCTTTCTTTCTTTCTTTCTTTCTTTCTTTCTTTCTTTCTTTCTTTCTTTCTTTCTTTTCTCTCTCTCTCTCTCTCTCTCTTTCTTTCTTTTGACAGTTCTCCCCTCAGTTCATGTCTTTGCTATCATGTTTTAATGTAAGCAGCAAGCAGAAATCGAGTGGCCTCTTCAACACATGGCCTGGAAATCTCCTCAGCAGTCCCTCTGTGTTTGTCACTGAACTCCCTGCTTCCCACCTAATCACGAAACCACTTCTGCTAAGCTCCTGCCACCTCTTTCAGTTTCCAGTAACGTCTCTCACTCTTCCCGCATCCCTCCAAGAGTATCTTTACAAGATAGATCTCTACTGGCAGTCTCTTGGAGGAAACTGAGGCTTTCTCTATCACGCTCCCCAAAACTCTTGCAGCTCTGACCCACTACCCAGTTCCAAAGCTGTGCCCACATTGGCTTCAGTAACACCCCATGTCCAAGCACCTGACTCTGTGAGGAAAAGTTCACGCAGAGAAGCCAATCCACTAGGATGGAGACAAATGTGTGGGCTTAACTCAGCAAACTGGCTCACAGAGTTGGCAGGGCTGTCTTTGCATCTGAATTCTGAAAGGCAGGCTGTCAGGAAGCAAAGACAGGGATCAGGCTAGGCTCCCTGGCGACGGGTCAAAGCTTCTGTCCACAGGCAGGAGTCTCTTTGTAAGGGAAATTCTAAACCCTCTTTGAAGACTTCCCAACTGATTACCTAAAGGCCAGACAGAATAATCTCCTTAACTTAAGGTCAATTGATAAGGGACGATAATTATGCCTCCAGAATCCCTTCACAGGAGCACCTAAAGTTAGTGCTGGATTGAGTATCTGGGAAAAGCTATGTCTTTATTTCCCAAAATAAGTATGTGATTTTGAAATATTTAGTCACCAGACTAAAAATGTAAAGAGAAACAGGTGAATTCAATTGTAATAACATTTTATTTAACCCCAGTACTCCCAAATATTATTTTGTTAACATACTGTCAATACAAATGTGACAGTGAGATGTTTTATATATTTTCTTTTCATTGCATACTGCGTTTTGGAAATCCAGTGTGCATCGTATGCTTAGAGCATAGCTCGTCTCACAGCAGCCACATTTCAGGTGCTCAGCACAAGTCTAGACATTTTCAGTCATGGTTTTCTTCATCACTACTGAGAGCCATCAACACACTTGCAGTTGTGAAGAGGAGAAATGAGCCCAGTGAGTGGTGCCTCATTTCCTGGCTGGCGTCCCTCTGTAGAACACTCTTTCTTCCATTAAAACCCAGAAGTTCTGCAACCTCTGCCACCCAGGTTGAAGCAATTCTCTTGCCTCAGCCTCCGGAGTAGCTGAGATTACAGGCACCTGCCACTGGGCCCAGCTAATTTTTGTATTTTTAGAAGAGATGGGGTTTCACCATCTTTGCCAGGCTGGTCTTGAACTTCTGACCTCGTGGTCCACCTGCCTCAGCCTCCCAAAGTGCTGGGATTACAGGCATGAGCCACTGTACCTGGCCACCATTCACTCTTTTAAGTAGTGTCTCAATTTTCTTCCAACAACTGATGTATCCATTAGAGAAAAGCTAAAAAACATTTATAAAAGTGAAGTTTTATAACTATTTCTATAAAAAGATAGCGTTACATATCTAAAATGTCCAGGAAAATGGACAAACGCTACCTAAAACAGACTATAGGAATCTTTCTTTGCTATTGACAGTTTCCGTGCAGCAAGGGCCATTTTCCAAGTTCATTTGTCACTCTGCCATTAACATAAAAAATAGTATCTAAAAACACAGCATCAACTGAATGCAGTGGCTCACACCTGTAATCCCAGCACTTTGGGAGGCCAAGGCAGGGAGACCACATGAGGTCAGGAGTTCAAGACCAGCCTGGCCAACATAGTGAAACTCCATTTCTACTAAAAATACAAAAATTAGCTAGATGTGCTGGTGCATGACTGTAATCCCAACTACTTGGGAGGCTGAGGCCGGAGAATCACTTGAACCCAGAAGGTGGAGGTTGCAGTGAGCAGAGATTGCGCCACTGTACTACTCTAGCCTGGGGTCAAGAGCGAAACTCCATCTCAAAAAAAAAAAAAAAGACAGCATCATAGTTTTAGATTTTTCCTGATTCCTTCTTAGCCTCTAAAGGAGGCCTAATAATGATCATTTCTGCCACATATTCTAAACTCAGCCAACTATCAAATCCAATGAAATGCCCCTGGTTTGAACATCCTGCCCATTCTGAGCATAAAGCTCTTCCAAGTGAGGTGAGTCAAGGAAGGACTGACTCTCAAGGTTCCTTTTTCATGAAGGGTCTCTAATTCTGAAGTAATTATCATGCCTTCTCTGGAGCGGGAATATCTGATGGAAGCATTTGATAAATTGCAGTGAGTCAGAAGTGATCCTTCCATCTGGAGGCTGGTGTGGTTAGCCAATGCTTACATTAGCTAATTAGCTCTGAGAAGTGGGGGAACATTACCTTTTCTTCCTGTTACCAGACAGATGAATGGTTGTCATAGCTCAG